TTGGCTCTTTGTTGGTTTCGCCTAGCCTTTAAAGAGTTATCGGATTCATATTCAATACCGTTTCCAGTATGTGCGCTACGCTGCGCCTTTGCAGTTACCACACGAGATTCCCATCCACTTTTGAAGCCGCTCATCAAGCTCGGGGAGACCGTTGCCTCCTTTGATTTGTGCCGTTCGTTGAACAATAACAGATTCCACGGCTGTTATTATTAGCTCCCTCGTAGACATGTCGGAGAGCATGCTCGCAAGGAATTGCATCAACAGGGAATGTTGCAAATGCTGATAGGACATTGTATAGGAAACGGAGAAGCTACTAAGCCAACAGAGACATCCAGTCGCATATATATTTGTCAATATTCAGGCGGCTAGACGTTTCGTGTTTGATATAGAGCTTCAATATTTGTAGCTCATTATGCGAATACCGTAGCACCAACAAGTACATTTCGACATTCCTAATCATGTTTAACTTTAATCAAAAATCCCTCCTTGTTAACTTCCAAATATGTAGCTTTAACTAGAAATATAATGTTAATGCTAAGAATATTATCATTATCATCATTAATAATTTTAAATAAAATATATTTTCCTCTTCCAAAACATAGTAAAACTCACATCACAAACATAAATCAATCTTTAGATTAATCTTCTACATCTTAGTTTTTGATTGAATATATTGCTACAGATCCAAGTATTTATAGTTTATAGAACACAACTTCTTGACAATGTTTTTGACTATTATAGCAGCGGTCGGGGAACCGGGGTAAATTACCCCAAATGGGGTAAAAATGACTACTTGATGTACAAACTGTGAATTGGGTTGTAGGTCCTTTTAAATGTGAAATTACTAATATACCAGACGAACCTCCAGGTTTGGCAGAGGCAATTCTTGAACTGCACATCTGAATTACAAATCTGTCGTCTTTTTGGTTGTCAAAGGCTTTCAAAATTGGACATGAGGAGGCGGTAAAACTATTGCTGCCATTTGCAACAACCTACCTTTGTGAACAAGGCTTTTCCACTCTAATGAACATAAAAACAAAAACAGAAATCGATTAAACACCGATAACGACTGTATTCAAATTGCTCTTACATCAAAATTATATCAAACATGAGGCAACATCATTTTTCCAAAACCTGAAGGGGGAAAGTTTTCATTTAAATTTTTTTTGTTCCAATTTAAGAATTTTATTTTGTTTGTCTATTACATACTTACTATTTTCATGTAACTTTTGTTTATAAATATGTAAATGTAAATTAATTCAATAAATAATGTTTATTTGCAAAAATATTTTGGGGTAATGGTTAAAAAAGTTCCCCGACCGCTGTATTATAGAATATCAACGCATCGTTATAACTGCTGATTCACAAAAATAAACCTGGAAAATCACAAGTTTTTTTAAATTTTCGTGTTATATACTGATTAGAGTTAAGTTATTACTGATATTATCTAAAATATTTATTAAATAATAATAATTAGCATAACGATAATTAAGAAATTAAGTTACAATTTTATGGAGTATGATTTTTTTTTTGTTCTTTTATGTCTGAAAGAGCGTGGAATATTTGTTTGATTGCTGCAATAAAAAAAATAAGGATTAATCAATGAAATCCTAATACTAAACAACAAAGTTGATAGAGACGGGAATTGTTCGACATGTGATTTGGTTCCCGAGAGATTTGGCCCGGGCTTATAGAGAGTGTATAGGGTCAGAAATCCAATCGAGAGATTGGGAGCTTTCAAAGTTGATGATGGGTCCTGATTTAGATTAGTATATTGCATTATAGGAAATGAGTGGCGGGCAGGAGGGTTGGAAAGGACTCACATATACACTCACTTGAAAAGCTCCGTTGTAAGGGAGGAATAATCACATCAGAAACGGATCCGGTCACTCGGAAAGAACCGAATTACCTCTGGCGCAGCCTCCGGCTTCAAAATCGTAATAAAATTTAATTTATTATAAAGAGAATCAATTTTGTAATGTTTTCAAGCTACTATAGATTCACTAATACTTTCATCAAACTAACAAATCTATCATTGTTTAAAAGAGTATCTTCATTAAAATAAAGAAAGAGTTTTATTTCATGTTTTTTCATTCAATTAATTGAGAGGAAACAAGTAAAAGAAAATAAATCACGTAGTTGTATTTAAAACGCTTACTGTAAATGCTGTATATATTTAGTAAATTTGTTGGATTGTGGAAGCGACAAAGTAATTAATGCACGAAAGGGTGGAAAAAAATCAAGTTCAAAGAAACCGTAGATGATATAATTTTTCGGTGTTGCCGTTGAGGGAAAAGCAAAGAGCGATAAATAAAATAAACTCGATTACGCAAACTCTCGCAGCTTTTATGCGCGTTTTAATCATTTTGCGGGGGAGGAGGTTATGTATCTATTTGGTAAGTCCGACGCAAAAGGGGGCGAGAGTGAGCGTTGCTCTTTATACATTTCGAAAATGCGCCCCCGGGAGCAAAGTTTTAATGGACGAAGGCCGACCATGAATAACAAAATAAGATAATATTATTTCCACGTATTTTTATTACATAAATATATGTATGGACCTACACCAGTCAAAATGACTGCCGCGATTTCGTTGAAGACTGAACGAAAAAGGGAGGAAGAAAAAAAAATTAAAATCGAGACAAAAACGGGGCGCTTTGATGATGGCTCATTTCGCATAAATCCTCGCACGTTTTCCGCCGCCCACCCTGTATATATTTTACACCCCCTTCGAAAAAGCCATCAGCCCGAAGCGATTTTACACCGAAAACAAATTCAACTTGAAATTAGCATTGTTACTGGATGAATCACAAAAAAAAACGAATACCCAGAGAGTTTGGATGAATATTTTCGAAACATTTTTTACAATCACCTTGAAAATTGGACGTTCGCTTTTTGGATAGCAATAGTGTAATATAAATGCGATATATCAGTCGGAATAACATGTTTATATATGTAGAAGAAGAAAGGGGGGAAAACGTATAAATCGGGCCATAACTCAACCGGAAAAAATATAATATAAGAACCAAAACAAATGTAATAAATATACCGCAGCCAACGAAACAGATGCGTACATGTTTTTGGCTCAGAGACGTCCTGAATTAATGTTGATTTCCTTGATCCCCCTCGCATCCACCAAGAAAAACGAGAATGCATCTTCGAAGCTTCAACATATCTGATTAATGATGAATTATTTGTGTTATAAACTCTTATTTTAGTTGAAAAAAACAATTATTTCAAATACGAGTTGACCGAAATGTAGTGATTATAGAATATAGTTTATAAACGAAGGAAAGAAAAATACATATTTATATATACACCATTTGCTTTAAATTTTGCATGCATGATTCATTCGGTTATACAAAAATTACATACAAATGTAGCAAAGACATTTTTCAGAAAATCACTCGGTAAATGTGTAAGGAAAATGGGGGAAATGCACAAAGAGCGCAAATATACATTCGCATACATACATGTGATATTATTGACGTGAGCAACTTTCGCCTTAAGATGGGGGAGAAAACTCCCGCAAAAGATTAGTGGCGTCAGAACAAAGTTACCAGACTTTTCATTCCGCGCCTCTCTTTTCTCTCTTTCTCGTATATATATACATTTTTTTTTGTTTCCCCTCTGCAGTGTTCCTCTTTCATTTGCTTCCCCCATTCATCCTACCGGTGCGAATACTTAAACAATGCCACCAAAAGCGAGCTTTCCGATTACATTATTGAAAAGTTTCACCCTCGCCGGCGCAAACAAACCAACAGGCGAACAAAAAAAAATATATATATATATTATTATTATTAATTCCCAAAGACGTTGTCACCTTTAAACGAGCTGGGGGCGCAAGGAAAAGAAGACGAGGAAGTTTTAATCCTAGTATGGAAATTTCCGTAATTCATCATCTTTAATCCGGAGCTGAGAACATTTTCCAGATGAGACTTTCCCTTTGTACACCAGTGACTTGATTGCATTGAATATGTATTTCAGCTTAATTTTAATTTTTAAGAGTCATTGAATGTTTTAATCCAATTGTATATTATTATCCACGAACAAGTGGAAATCTTACACTAGTAAGATAATTGCATAAAATTTTCACAAAATTTTTATTCAACAAATCAAATACGCGTTAATATGTTTTTTTGTGTATAAATCTGAAACTAATATGAAAGGCATGAAAAGCAATGGAGCGTCCTTTTGTTCTTCGTGAAAATCGAGCATAAAATGAGCCCAGAAAACAAAAAAAATATAGTGAATATTGAAAGCCGAAACCCTCGTTAATTTAGTAGGAATTTATTTTCCACTAAATTAACTACGTATTTGGATACTTTATAAACTTGTCAGCTGGTTTAATGAAATTAAATACTTTACATATCTTGATCATTTTTTCTATAAATAAGTTTTATAAGTAATTTGTAATTAATTGAGTTTTTTTTACAATATCTTCTATTGATTCATCCAATCATGAAGCGGAATTGGACATAAGCTCATCAAATTTTATCGTCGAAACCATCCAAATTTGTAAGATTAATCAGTTACAACCAATAATAATGTAGTAACTTTTGTAGTATAATAGAATATAATTGAAAATAAAGTAAATGTATGAGAATTAAAAGAAAAAAATATAATTTATGTTTGTACAACATTTACATAAATATTATAATTTCCACTAAATTAACTACGTATTTGGATACTTTATAAACTTGTCAGCTGGTTTAATGAAATTAAATACTTTACATATCTTGATCATTTTTTTCTATTAATAAGTTTTATAAGTAATTTGTAATTAATTGAGTTTTTTACAATATCTGCTATTGATTCATCCAATCATGAAGCGGAATTGGACATAAGCTCATCAAATTTTATCGTCGAAACCATCCAAATTAGTAATATTAATCAGTTACAAGCAATAAGAATGTAATAACTTTTGTAGTATAATAGAATATAATTGAAAATAAAGTAAATGTATGAGAATTAAATGAAAAAAATATAATTTATGTTTATACAACATTTACATAAATATTATAATTTATTGACTATATCCGATTATAAATTAGATGTGATACAATGTGAAATGATAAAATGAGCATGCAAGGAGATATTATTCATGGGCGTGCTTGTTGACTTGTGTATTATGTACGAAATGCGGAGACCTTTTGTGCTGAAGTGGAATTGTTGTATAGTTTGGTCATTTTATGTTGGTTCCGTCGAGTCGCATATATGTGATCTTATTGCGACCCTTGCGGGAGAGTGAGAGAAATATAGTTAAGCGGAAGAGAGAAAGAGAGAGAGAGAGCGAGAAATCAGCGTCTGTCAGAGGGTATCATCGTGAACGCATGATTTCCAAAGGGAATTACATCCCTCGGATGTAATTCAATAATATTAATGATACCAGCTAGGATTTGGACTCACAATAAGCGTGCATTGCGTTATGAACGCAAAGCCTCTTATCAGAAAGTCGAGGGTCCGTACATATACGAACATTTTAGAAATGTATGCGCATACGTAATCGTTATTCTCTGCACTCGGAATGTTCCTGATATAATTTTATTCTGAATTTATATCTATATAAATGGATGGGTGTAAAAATAATTGAGATGGGTGAGAGCTGGATCATTCGCGGAACGCATTGCAAGGTAAGTAGTCGCCAGGTGATGATTTGCAGACGCACATCTCGTTTTCGTAAGAACCGACCTTCTGCTTATAGCAACCACTCGTTACAGCCCCTTCATTCACGGCGAAAACTTTAGTGCACATGTACGTCGCATTTACAACTGCAAAATAAATACAATCTCTTGAAAATGTTACGGAAAACGAAAAGGATTTAGCACATACTTTCGTCGTTGAAGGAATAGCTGTAGCGAGCGCACACATCTCCCTTGCTCATCTTGCACGCCACTCTCATCTTGTAATTATCCCACATGTGATCAAGGTCCGGTTTTGAGCTATCATCTAAAAAAAAATGACAGTGTGTTTGAATCAACAATTTTTAATAAAATTCAATTTATGTTACTTACATGATATTACCAAAGGTTGTCTGCAAGGAATATGCTTATCTCTGCCCTCCTCAAGAAGCTCTCCGCATGTCTTGTTGAATTTTGTTGTGTTATCATAATCTGGGCCCATCCACGAAAACTGGAAGCAATACGATTGCGTGACATCCAATTCTTCTATCTTATTTTCGCCCTCGCTATTAACATTTGCATCTTCTCCACGAACATTTACGTCAACTGAAAATAATTAGAAAAGTGATCCTCCGTCCCCTCTTAACTCATTTAACACGACTGTAATAAATCAGGTAAACTAATATTTAAGAAAGTTTTTTTATTTAATTTGTTTTCAAACTATATTAGCTTTTCAGTTGTAGCAAGCGAAACTTTATATCATTGCATGCAGGTACGCGATTTTTTTTGTGTTGTTGCTGCGCGAAACTGTTATCTTCCGAATATAATCCCCAACCGGCAATCCATTTCACAACTTCTGGCTTAAAAATAATTTAAAATTATATATATATTTATACAATCACGGAATTTTAGTTTCGCAGTATTGTTGTATCTCTTTTTTTAATGTTAAAAATGGTCAATTACAAAAATGTTACAGTTTTTTTTTCGTTGCTGATAAGCGGCTTTTTATTAATATGCATCTTTATTGCTCGGTTACGTGCGCGGTGTTTTTTAATTAAAAAATATATTTATATATTATGTAATTTAATGGGTGGCTTGTACAGGAAAAAAAAACAAAGAATAGTTGCAACAAATGATATTTTATCGTCGGGACACGCAACGCTGTACATTGTCAACTCGTCAACTTATTTTAATTATTCACCCCGAAAGTGACGGACACACACACTCATTCATTTCCTTATTCGCCTCGTGATAAATGGAGAAACAACAGCAAAGGAATTACGACCGACGATCGTTGATATTCAAATTATTCACACACACACTAACTATACTTACGTGCTAATAAATGCACGGCATACACGATCGCAATTACAAAATGCAACGACTTCATTTTTACTACTGGTTGGAAAGCAATCACCTATAAATTGATATCGAACAGGGAATTTTAATCCATATGATACTTACTTGTAATCAGATAAACGTCTTGCAGATAAGGATTGTTTATTTCTAGGAAAGAAATGTTTCCTAATTTATCAATTTCCTAGTCAATGAGTACCGAAAATATCAAGTACCTTCTATATATTCTATGAATTATGAATTGAAGGAATTGCCAATTTCTTCACCCTTCGAAACTTTCATTATATATAGTTATCAACTTTCTGAAAACATGTTGATAGATTCTATAAACATTCTATTAACGCAGACACAAAACTGCTGCATTTAAATCAACAGTTTTTTTAAGTTTATCTAAGTGCAGTGGAATACAGTGCTTAACGAATATCGAGCATAACGAGCATTTCTCTTAACGAACATAATGAATTGTAAGAAACATGACTCGCTTAACGAGCGATGTTTCACATAACGAGTGACGATGAGAAGAGAAGTCCCGGATTTTTGAGTATATTAACCATCTTCGATTTTCTTTGTGATCTTTGTTTAAAGCAGACTATACTTTGCAAATATAATTTGTGTTTGCTGTAAATGCAATACACAAATGTATTGTGTCTAATCATTATTATAATATATAAACATACTATGTACGCTTTTTTATATAAACAAATATTAAAAGTATAAAGAAACTTTCAACTAGTCCCCGAATTGATACAAGTAATATAAACAAATATAAACTCACTTCACCGTGTTTGAATTGGAAAATAGTTCATAGTGGTCATTCTAGTTGCATTTTAGTGTTGTTTGTGATCACAACATTTCCAAACTTGTGCTCATATATGTTATTTGTGCAAAATTTAATAACACTTGCATGTCTCCGAATAAAAAGCCAAAGAATGGAAAGAACCATAGACATGAAAAGCAAAATCATGAAAAATCGAGACCAAGTTATACTTTCTATTCTCCGGCATGGAACGCATTATCGTAATTAACATTAGTTTATATGAGAAAACATGTTTCACTATACGAGTAAAAATACAGAAATTTTGGATTCAACTCGTTAAGAGAGGTTTCACTGTATTTGATAATACTTTAATCTAGTTACTGTAGATACATTTTCATGCTCAGTCGTGAATTTTTCCTTATATAATTTCCAAGAAAAGTAAATGAAATTAATGGATTGTAAAAATATGTTTGCAATACCAAAGGTCGGCAACCTGCGGCTCTTTTCGTTATTAAACTATTTATAAATAAGATATTTCGTGTTGTTTTAGTAACTAACGTCTAGTAATATTATTTACTTTTCTATTATTAAACATATGTAGATGAGGAGGTGGGTGGTTAAATGAAACAACAATAAGTTCAATATGAATCTTAAATATTTTGATTGTAATATAATCAATGTATTACATTAACTGCTGAAAATGTAAACAAAAAGAGTTTCGTTTCTTTGTGTAAAAAATAATTAATGTGTATATATAAAAATATTAAAAAATTTCTTTCGCTTTTGTACCCATCACAAAATTGTCACAGAACCATTATTATTATTATTATCATCAACTACTTTTCGGCCGTATTGAATTTTCTTTGTGTACACAAAAACAAATTTAGTTTCTTTTTTTTTTTCTTTTTCTTCTTTTGTCTTTATCCAAAGAGATACCGATATATGTATATGTGCATATATATATACATACACACACTTATACATATGACAGATTCTAAAATATATATAGAATATCATAATGCTACGTGTTTCCTAAATACTTAATTATTACACATATTAATGCACTGCATCAAATTACTTATATTATAATAAATATGCATAATAGAAGAGCCCACCCTTAAATAATTATGAGCAAAAGAAATTAGTCTTTAAACTAAGTATATAAAAATAAATGCGCTTCTAATGGGTTTGCATTGCATCTAACTAGTTCGAGATTTGAAACGTAATTATTTTAAAAAGACTAGCTTTTACCCATTTTTTTTTTTCGTATTGCTTCAATCAGTAAACAGAAAATTCCTTTTTTTTATCACAACTTATAAATTCTTCTTGTAAATTAGTGTTTTTTCTGCACTGTCTACTAAAATTAATATAAACTCTAAACTAAATTGTAAGATAATAACTCCATCCAGTCTTAAAAATTAACGTTCTTTCCATTACACAAAAATCTATATAATATTGTAAAGCATATTATATCAGATTTACTCTATCACAATGAAGTTTCCTCGCTCACTATAGAATTTCCTGCTTCCAAAAACATGTATATATATATATTTATATATCACCTCTGACTTATATAATCTTAGATAAACTTGAAAATGCGTGCAAATAGTAAAAGATTCATTCATTAATAGATAAAGAAAAAAAGGCTCTTCTATTTCCTGCATGTTCAAATAGAACTACTCGAGTCGCCAGGAAAATGCAAAAGATTATCACCGTTGTAAGACGGCGTCGGTGAAGCCCTGCTTGCTGAGCTGAAACTACTCGCGCTGCTGAAATCTTCAGCATCCCTGTAGATGCAATCTGTCACGGACTGTTCTCCACCTGCAACTGTAACAATCAATTAATCAACTTTTTCTAAAAGGCATCGTAAAATAATTAAACATTACCAAATCCTGATTTAAATTAGGAAAGGATTTACACTTTCGACCAACATTACTGACTAAAATCCATTTCTAAACACTTTTACTCAATGATGAATATTTAAAAAATTAATCTATATACACATACACTTGACGGCACAAGAAAATAAATAAACAATCTCGTGATAAATAATTAGAATCGAATGTGAAATTTTTATTATTTTTATTTTCTTTTTTTGTCTAAACTGGTTTCTGCACATTATTAGTAAATATTTGGTTTCTATATATATATAAGAAATTTGAAACAGTTAACTCATCACAATAATGTCCCAAAGAAGTTATTTACAAAAGCGCTTTTATTGTTTTGTTTTTTCTCCATATGTCCAGTATTTCTTTTACATTCTACACCATTAATGTCACATTTTAGAACTCTTTAGAAAAAATAGATTTGAAATTGAGCCTTCTTACAATTCTCTTGCACCCTATTGTTATTATTTCATATATTTATAATCTAAGCAGCATATCAGTATTTGCGATTCTTACGTAATTTTTACATAAACAATATCACCAATTCGACTCGAATGAATGAAAACATCTTTAAATTTACTTCAAATCCTTAATAATATTTACAATATACATTAATTAGTATAGCCGCCAATCATAAGAAGATATGCACTATTATTATAAAGTATTTTCATACTCAATTCATACAGCAATGTGTCCATAAAAAATTATCAAAAAATAATATAAGCTACATTCATAATAAAAGCAATAATAAAATTATTGCTGCACAAATCAAGTACAAAATATTCTTTTTAGATATGTCTTAAAAATGAAACTAATTAAATTACTAAGAAATAAATATGTGTTACAATCAGCTAAACAAAAGTATAATTAATTGACTAAGCATTAGAATAGAACACATTATTTTGCTTGTTTTTTTTTTGTTTGGAATCATTACAATTGAATAATCCATTAAAATACTTTTTCTGTAATTTTGTACATTTTTTTTTACCACATTTGTTGTAATATATGACTCCAATGCTTGGACCCAATATATAATTATATTATTTATAATCTAAAGCTATGATAAGTTATCCACTTTTGTATTGCACTCTATGTAATGTTACCAACCCTGCATATTGACCAGAACAAAATATACTGACGCAAATAATATCCAAACTTATTATATACTAAAATCAATATTGAAAACAAACAATAAAACTCCGATTTTTTTTTTTACTGAGATTTTCTAGTACAAGATCTTGGTTTCAGCAATAATGAATTTATCGGCGTTTCTTTTTTGATTTTTTACTCTTATTTACAGGCTTACTGGGCTTCACGTCAACTTGTGGATCATCTTCAGTGTCCATTATAATCACCGGTACCTTAGACGAGTCATCGCTCTCTGTTGTTTCGGTTTGGCTACCAGTTGTTTCGATCTTCTCGTCATCAGATGACTTCGGATCAGCCTTTCGATCTTGTGGCCAGACGGTGGATGTGGGTTCGACGGATGAATCAAGTTTAAATTCTTCAGTTTTCCAAACACTGCCACCTTCCTTATTCAAGTTACCAATGCGGACGCCAAGCTTAGCTTTAGGTTTACGGGGCTTTTTAGGCAAATCTTCTTTTAACGTCTCCAAGGTCAATTCTGGATCCGCACTTAATGAATCAAACACTTCTACGTCGATCGTAGTTGCTTTTATTTGACTGAGTTCGCACGACTCTAGTTTCTCTTTAGCGCAAAAGGCATTTAATATAGATAGTTCATCTATTGCTTCACTAGCATCGAAAAATGGATCTTGGTACGTTTCTACCACAGCTTCTTTTGAAGGCAATGGTGTAAAGACTGGTAATTCAATATCAGGCAAATTTAATATATCCGAATCTACAGCATCTACTTCATCGTCGAGGAAAGTAGTTTGGCACTCTGAACCTAATATATCTTTATCAAGTTCCTTGATATCTAATTGTTCTTCTACCAAAGCAGAGTTATCTTCGTCGGTGATACACTTATCTCCTTTATATTCCAATTTCAATTTATCTAAAAGCAAATTGGTTTGATCTAAAATATTTTGCGACAACAATTTCCTATCGGCCTTTTTAGAATCCTTGCAACGCTTCGGAGACGATTCCCTCGACTTCTTGACATTCTCCGGTTTAGTTATTCTCTCTTTCCTGAATGGCATTTTGTCTTCGATGTGTAGCACATTAACGGCGACTTTGGACTGAACGTTCATCGGCTCAGCAAAAACAATAGCCTTGGATGCAATGACTGGTCGAAACAGAGCTTCGTCGCAGTTCTCATGAATGATTTCTTCTGGTGGTTCCACTTCCAATTCATCGTCCGATTGAACTGTAACGACCATCCCGAGCGGATTCACAACTTTAGCGACACCACCAGAATTATGAGGTTTCATTGCAACAATCACACAGCGCCCACCTGGACAGAAAAAGCCAACGGCAGGAATTACTGATTGTAACATTTCAATTTATCTAGCATGCACAATGTGTGTGTACGTGTGTGTTACGTGATGAAGATGGGATCAATTTAAGCCAATACATTGTTGTATATTATTAATGTTTTAATTTTAATGGCAAAAATAAATCAACGTTAAATTAAAAAAAAATAATAATTATAATAAAAGTAATATAAACAATCTCGCACAGAATCACACACAAACCCACGCAAAACGATAAATGTTATATCAGTGAATATTGCCTGCCAATGGCTAATTCTGAAAACGCGTTTGCTAACAAACGGTGTGCGCCACAAACACAACAAAATCATAAGAAAATATAAACCAAATTAAAGAACGACTACTTCCAAGGATAACAAAAGCCACTTATTAATATTTTTATGCTTCGCTTAACCCATTTTGCACTTACCTGCAGGAAATACTATCACAGTTGTATCAATTATTATATATATATATAATTGATATAACTGATACACTTTATGTGACTACTCACCAGATTCTCTAATACCTGGAGATTCGAGCATAGCATCCGCCAATTCTTCTTTTAATTGGAGTTCGCAGGCGCCCCCCACGTCATCAAAATTACGTTGCAGAGTATCCAAAAATTTGGGAGACGGTTCACAACTGCTTACGGAACCAGCTTCAATAAGAATTGGATATGCCGCATTCAAGGGCATATTCACTGGTTTCGAACGCACCACATCTATTGATTGTGCTTCTATAATATTCACAGAAGCCCTGCGAAAGATGACCCAACATTAATTGTAAATAATCCACTGGAATATAAGACTTACCCAGTTCCATTGTTGTAAGTTTTAAAACTGAACTGAGGTCCCATCCAGAGCCTCCTGTGGGGACCTGCATGTGTAATAATTTCCACTTGCGAAAGCCACCTATCATCAGTATGACTGGGCTTACTTTCTTTATAGGGTAATTCTTCTTTATAAATCAAATTCAGATTTTCATTTGACACTGGCATCTGGATATCTTTTCCGCCAGGTATTCTTTGAAGCAACCATTGTGCCTTTGCTAATACAGACAACTCGATCAAAGTATCACTACAAATTTTATCTTTGGGACCAGAGGTAACATGGTGTGGATCCAAATCGTATTGAATCAAGGAGCCATGACAAGACATTATAAACAGCGACTCGACTGGTCTCACTTGAGGCTTAACGACGCCCGTCTCACGACACTGATTTACAGGTTCTATCCAAGCACGTGCGGGTGCAAAGCAAGCGGTCACTCTCAAAGACACCTGCAAACCATCTTCAGACGAAGAACCCAAACGTTGCCTGCCAATGTTTTGTCTCGGTTGGCTCCCAGAATTCTGAATAAATAAAGGCTGACGAATTTGTGCCAAAGGATGTACAACTGTTGGATGGGGATACGGAGGTAATCTCGGGTTGTGATATGGTAAGTTAGAATTTATCGGGGCTTCCAAGATGCAAAGTGGACTATTGGATCGACCTTCTGCGGTCAATCCGGCGGATCTATGAAACATTGACATTTTGTTAACGACGTGTGGAGTCCCGTGTGTCCTTACACCAACATTTCCACCGTACGGTGTAATAGGAAACACGTGAGTTGTTCCACGAAGTGTAGACACTGTCACCCAACGTGAATCCGGCGAAAAGCACATGTCTTGGACACGAGCTGTCGTATCACCACGATGCAAAATATATAAATGATGAATTGCAGCTAAAGCTGGTCCTCCTGGGTGCGAGTGGATACGAAACAAATGAAAATCGTAGCCTCTTTTATCAGCTGTCAAGAGCAAAAGTCCGCTGGGATCGAAAGATAAATAAACAACAGCTTCTTTGTGTGCCGTGAAATGAGCCACAATGCCCTCTCCGTGAATTCCCTTTTCATTACTCTCTATGTTTTGATTCTGAAAACCAAATCACGTTAACTCCCATAGTATTTGCTACATTAATACGAAAATACCTCAATGTCCAAAATGGTGATGACACCTTTTTGTTGCACTTCGTTTAGTCCTGAGCTCAGCGAGCTTCCTGTAACTGTAGCTTTATGTGGTACATTTCCAGTCAAACTACTCGCAACAGTTTCGCCCAATTCCCGCAATCCTCGTCCCAGCGACTTCGCAGCATGTAATACAGTTGCAGTGTAACTCTTTAAAAAAGAAAAAAAATATATAAATACATTCATCTTTTTTTTATAAAGCTATAATTACCACCTGCACTCCTTCGCCGTCATTTCCACCACTACTTCTTCTGGCTGGAAGTAGTTTATTTTCGGCATAAGCCAACCAGCGAGGGCCTAGAGCAACAGGATTAGGATAAATTCCAGGACTTAAATAACAAGTTGTTATTGTTAATTTATCTTCCAAGTTGAAAGCGTCGAAAATAGCTATCCTCTCTGAGAAAGTTACAACAACTGATCTTCTATTAGCCACCACATCTAGTATTTGATTTTTAAATCTAATCAATTTCACCTAAAATAATAGTATTTACTAAGTAAATATGAAATATGAAATATTATTAAAATACCTGTTCAGCAGTTCTAAGAGAAATAAAACTTAAAGAACAATAATCAGAGCCTGGAGTTACAGTATCACAAAGGGCAATCAATGGTCTCTTTGAATTATACGAATCAACAACATTGTAACCAACTCTGTAAGGACATGGTAAAATTCTTAAGACTCTAACTGAGCCATGTCTCCAGGATAAAATTTCAGTTGCCTCGCCATTGGCCTGTATTGCCCAAATCTTCAATAAATGTTTGTCAATAACAATTCACAATTTCTTATATCATATATTTTCTACCTGAATGCCAGTTGTGTACCCCAAAACAAGAATAATTGATGGTGGAATAACTTTGTCACCGTTCATACAACAATTATTTAGTTCATCAACCTCCACCCGCTCAAATCTTGCCCACTGAATTTGGTCTTTGGTATCAGAAGGCAAATTGTAAGCGTTTGGAACAACATCATTTATAAAACCTGCCACACTGTCCAATATAGTTGGATCGGTGACTTGTTGAGGCAAAACAATATTGTTGCCATGGTTGAGCTTAGCCTTGATTGGTGAATCAGCTGACATTTTGATTAAAACACAAAACAATCTAAAAAA